CCCACCAGACTAAACTTGCTCCTCTTGTTAGAGCTTCTCCAGCCACATGGATTTATTTCTCTCAGACCATTATTGCAGAAGTTCTTGTTGAGAGACAATATTTAGATTGCTTCTCAGTGCTCAGAATTGGACCCAGGGCCTCACACATGCCAGGCAAGTGCTTTATCACTGAGCTACAGCCCCAGCCTTACACATTTATTTTTCAATCCTAATTGTTTGTTGTTGCCTTCCTTCTCTCAAATTGCCAGTTCTATGCTAAGTTTAAGAAAACACAAAATTGAGCCGGGTGTGGTGGCGCACGCCTGTAATCCCAGCACTCGGGAGGCTGAGGCAGGAGGATTGCTGTGAATTTGAGACCAGCCCAGGCTACATAATGAGTTCCAGGTCAGTCTCAACTACATAGTGAGACCCTATCTCAAAAAACCAAAAAAAGAAAAAGAAGACACAAAATCACAATGAATTAAAGATACTCATTATGTTCTATAAAACCACAGAACTAAGGGAAAGTATCTGGATACAGAACACATCTTAAGCATAAAAAGAAATACATACTTTCTTCAGATAGAGTAGGGGTGGGAGAGGAAGGAAAAGGAGGCCTGTGTATCCACAGACCACAGGAGGCCCAGGCCGTGCTGCTAAAAGGCACTGTCCAGGAAGGAGGAGGACTAGGAAGGACTGCGTTCAACTCTGAAAACCGTTCTCCATGCAAGGAGTAGTGTGCAGAGGACAACAAAAGGTTACTGGAATCGAGGAAGCTGAGCGCCAAGGAAGAACCAGCGCTTAGAGAGAAGGCCAGGCTCTCCCGTGAGGGTGGGGAAGGGAAGGAAGCCGGAGAAACCTGAGCTGGACGGACGAGAGCTTGCTGTGGTTTGTCCCTGCCAGCTGGGTGAACTGGAGACTGCACTGAGCTACAGAGACACAGGCGTCTTTCTCACCGAGACTTACACCTGCTGTGCTCAACAGTCACCTGCGTGGTCACTTGCAGGTTGCTTCCAACCTAGACTGGAAGCTGCTCGAGGGCCGAGACCGTAAGCCACACTTTCCCTCTGACAGGACAGTGCCTCAGGGCAGACTGCAGACGGACTGTGGAGGACTCGGTCAGTCCAGTGACAGGGAAACTCTGGCTTCCTTTTTAGCACTTGAGGCTCCTGGAGTTGGAACCAGGGAGCTCTGAGCTCCTTCCTCCCTCTCCTCTGTCCTTCCTTCTTCTTTCTTCCTCTTCCTCCTCCTCCCCGTCCTTCTCTTCTTCCTCTCCTCCTTTCTTTTCCTCCCGTCCCCTTCCCCACCTTCCTGTCCCTCTTCTTCCTTTCTTTCTGATCTTGCTAATTTTCCCATCCTGCCCTTGAAGTTGGAACCCTCTTGCCTGAGCCTCCCAGATGCTCTTCTTGTGCTTTCAAATATGCACCCCCATGCCTGGCCTGGACTTTGGAGAGAATAAAATAAAACATTTAAAACTGCAGAAAATATAGAGAACATAAAATCATCCTGGGAAAGTGCTTACTTTGTTCTACAGCAATAAAAGATCACCGCTCCCTTTAAGAGAAAACTAAAAGCAGATCTGTGATCACTTTCTTTCGGTGCCTGTCGCTGCTACATTGTGAGACTGCTCCTGTGGGCCACTGGGGAGCAACGTACTGCCAATGTGAAAGACAGAGAAAAATACACAGCTGCTCTCGTTCTGATTACCCTAGAGCCACGTCCCCAGAGCCAGGTCTTTTGACAGCCTTTCTGCTGTTGGCAGTTGGCTATGAGCTCCCTCTTCTCCTACAGGAGATGCGGACTATGTGGGTAACACTTAGGGTCCATGTCTTGTTTGTTCAGAATTGTGTACCGTGTTTAAATCTGAACCCGCAGAACATTTACTAGGCTGCTACCTTCACTGCTCTAGGCTGACATTCCCATTTGGTGATAAAACTAAGATGCTGATGGTTTATATGAAAGCAGCTCCTGGGTTAAGTAGAAAATGCAGCATGTCCACTGAGATCACATAAAACATTGTTCTGAATCGTATAAAACTGAGCATGGCTTTTAAAATATTGACAGGACATTTATACGGCATTTAGAACAACCGATGAAAGACGTGCTTACATCATGTATTATTTTTTTGAGTGAGTCAGCTATTGAAAGGTATGGCACTGTTCTAGCAGGAAGGACACAGGATCCTAGGATGCTTTGAGAGCCTTACTCTGGACCTCACCGATAACAATCTCATTGAATTTTCCAAACTATTACACATATTTTGATTATTGAGTATTAATCTCTAAAAGCCCAAAATGACAACAATAAAGACATAAAAAGAAAGTAGATGTCCCTCTTGTCCATATCCTACCCCAAAATAAAGCTTGACATATCAATTTTGGTTTCCTAAGCTATATGTTAGAACACACCCACATCTATATATACAGACATGCATATACACACACTACATACTACTTATCCATTTATTCACCAATGGACAAGAAGGTTGATGCCATATTTTGATTATTGTCAATAATGTTGCTGAGACACAGGCATGCAGAAATCTCTTTGACATTCTGATTTCATTTCTTTTCAATATATAGCCACAAGTGTAACTCTTGAACCACAAGGTAGTTCTATTGCTAATTTTTGTGGAACTTGGGCACTGCTTTCTATAATAGCTGCATCAACAGCACACATGAATTTCTTTTACTTTGTATCTGTGTCAATTCTCACATCAGTCTTTTGGAGAACAGCCTTCCTGACCTGTGAGATGCTATTCTACTGTGTATTTGATTCATGTTTTCCTAATGATTCTTGATGTTGACTGCCTTTTCATATACCGTGGGCCCGTGTATGACTTGTTTGAAAAGTATCTATTCTGGCCCTATGCCTATTCTTTTATTATTTTATTTTCTATTGATTGTTATTTTTGTTTTGCCATTGAGTTGCATGTTAATTGCTCATTTTGATCCATACTGATTGGGCATTTGAAAAAGCACTAAAATAACTGGCAAGAAAGTTTAACCCAAAGAAGGATGCAAAAAGCTGTCCACCTGAGTGTACTTCTCAATACCCATTCCCAGATCTTTGTAGAGTAGGAGAAGTTAGCCAGATTTTAGATGTAGAAGAAAAGGGTTTTTGGCACATGCAAAGGCATGGATAGAGCAAAAGAATATGAAATTCCAAAGTCTGTAAAGTGTTCGGCCTTCACTGGAGCACTTAGAGTTTGAGGGTCTGAATCAGCTGGCTCTGAGGTGGTAGAGAGCCAGGGTGTGCCTTCTAGGCCAGGTGAGAGGGATTTTTTTTCCTTGAGGGAAATGGAGACTGATAGAGGGTTTTCAAGGTGGGTAGTAATCATGTGCTTGAGGGAGGTGATTCTGGGTGCTGCGTGGAACACAGGCTGATGGTGGGGTCAGTGGCTGCAGCTGTCCCACCGGAAGTAGAGGGCACAGGAGTGGACAGAGAGTGATGGGGTCACAGGGAAACCCGGAAGGAAGAGCTGATGTGATTTGTGACTTAATGGAAGCTTGTGTACAGAAAATGGAAAGCTGTCCTCAATGAAGGGTGAGGAGAGGAGCTGTGAACGATTCCCAGGAGCAGCTCGATGCATTGCTCTGCCGAGATAAAGATTCCCACTAGAAGCAGCAAGAGTGAGCAGGAAAATAAAAGCAAATGAACGTCTGCTAATGAATTTACATGCAAAGATCTCAGTTATCATATAATAGTTATATGTGATATGCTTTATAATGTACCAGTAATGTAATTAACATTACCCTACCAATCCTGTGATATTTTACAACACATTATAAAATGAAATTACAAGTTAGATTCTTTCTCCAGGCCTCTTAGCCAGAAATTAGATCGATACTGAAACTGTAGCACTCTAACTCAAAGCCAGCAGTGTTTGGTGGGATTTTCAGCGTTGCAGTTGTTATTAAACTCAGTCGAGTCCAAGTGTTCTGATCAGTACGCTCCGCACCATTTAGTCCTTAACACTACCCTAGTGACGCCACCGTTACCAGCTCCGATGTGCAAACGCAGAAACTGTGACCCAGGGCCAGACTGAGACCGGTGTCCGGTGTCGGCACAAGGGGCTTGGGTGGCCCACGCTTGAGGCGATTCTTTCAACCAAGAATCACAGACTAAGATGTGTAGACTCAAGTGCACAGCTATGTATTCAGTAAAAAGTGAATCGGCCGTTCTTGAAGATTCTAGATGCAGCCTTCTTAGTTCAGGTAAGAGCTTTGCAAAAACGGGTTTTCAGAGATTTTTTTAACCAAAAAAAAAATTTTTTTTTTCATTATTTAGCTGTTTGGAATTATAGGTTTGGCTTTCTATTAGAAATACGTGCTGCGATAGGCAATCTTGGTCATAGGTGAAGAATAGAAAGGGAGATCCTAGTTAGAAAAATTCCCTTGAGTCACGAAGAGAAGCAGCCTCTATTTTTTCTAGTCTGTTCTGCGGGAGAGAGAAGCCAGCACACTGAGTGAGGCAGGACATAGAGTAGCACATCAGTCTGTGAGGTTAGTTACCATCAGTAGCAAATTTTGCAAAGAAGGGTCCTTACATAGCCTGCTTGAAACCTCAGATCTGCTGCGCCTGGAATCAAATTCAGGGCATGACAACCCGCATTATGCAGTGATGTCCCGGTGCCCTGGCACTGGTGTTGCCTTACTCAGGCAGGGTTTCTGGGTCCAGAGATGTAGTTATTAAGGTTCGCAGAGTTTAAAACTCAGCCTGCGTCCATCAGTCAGGGCCAAAGCGGAGACTGAAATTCATCCCAGGCTGCTTCCAGAGTCTGTAGGGAGCGGTGGCAGCCATGTGCTGTCTACAGATGCAGCTAACAGTAAGTAGTGCTGTTCGGAAGGACAGCACAACCGCGCAATGGTCATAAAAGTGTATTATTGGGACGCCACAGGCAGCCTGCGTACTTAGCAAACACTGTTAAAATGTCCTGCTGACCAATGAAACGTCAGGGAGGTCGGTATAAACTGGTCAAGAGGCCGAGGTAACCTCCAACACGACTGGGCCATTCATACCCCTTGGGAAGGCACCATGAAGGGTCCCGTGTTCACCCTGGTCCTGCTTTCCGCGCTGTTCGCCATCCCCGAAGTGAGGAGCAAGGACACGGTTAAGCTGTGCGGGCTGGACTACGTGAGGACAGTGGTCTACATCTGCGCCACCGCCCGCTGGAGGAGACAGGCGGAGGGGACCCCGCCGGGCCAGCAAGGTAACCCCTCTTCAGTCCCCACTCAAGAGCCTCTTTTCTTAAAAAAGCAAAACTATTTTCAAATGGTTATCTGATATCCGTTTCTCTAAGAGGAGCCGGTTAGCACTCTGTCGGGGCGAAGCCTCACCCCTCTGTTGGCCGCGTGGCCGGGAGCGAAGCCCTGGCTTAGCCTGAGCTGAGGCCCTGAGACCCTGAAAGATGAGGGGAGCCGGCGGGGATCCCACCCAGAGGAGCTGCCCCACCACAGGCTCACGGGCAGGCTCGGGCCTCTCAGGCGCAGTGATGGTGTTGACTTCACTGCATCGCCCGATTCTCTGAATTCAAGTAACTTAGAAGTTGGACTGGAATTCTTTCTCCTAGTTCTACATAAAGTGTTAAGAGTCTGTTTATTATTTCTTTTTCATTGATAAAAATTGTGTATATTTATCATATATAGTAGTGTTTTAAATACTGTACACCGGGCCAGGGATTTAGCCCAGTGGTTCCACCGCCTGCCCCGCAAGCACAAGGACCCGAGTTCAATATTCGGTGCAAACTAAACAGAAAAACTGTGTACCTTGTGGAACGGTTGTACAGAGCCCACTAACATGTATCACCCCAGATACTTAGCTTTTTTTCTTTCTAGTAAGAGCACTTAAAATCTACTGTCTTAGCAATTTTCAGGAATACATTACGGTGCCATTAACTACATTCACTGTGTAGACAATAGCCTGCTTAAATGTGTTCCTCCTGTCCCACAGAAAATTTTACATGCTTTGGCCAACATTGCGCAGCTCCCGAGCACCAGCCCAGGCTCCTGGTACCCACCGTCCTCTGTCCTGTGAGGTCAACTTTTGAGGTTACACAGATGAATAACATTATGCAGCTCTGCCCTTCTGTACCTGCCTTTTGAAAGATTCTACTTTAATAATTGATTGTATTTGCTAAATTTACAATCCAAAATTTGAAATACTGATTACATAATATACACTGCAACCACACATATGATTGTAAGGGTTGCAATTTGGCTTAAAATGAAATTGGTATACAACATAATTTAGAAAATGACCCACACTATTCATGTTTTTGTGGGCTGTGTTGAAATACGAACTCTCTGTTACCATATTAATTACTAGATGTTAACAAATAACAATGTTTTTTTTTTTTTTTTATCTTGAGAGTAAGAATAATTTACCAGGATTTATATCAGTCTCTAGAATAATGGAACCAAAATGCACTAGGGAAAAAAAGTATGTGGGATATCTGTATGTGTTTATACTGGCAACCCCACTGAAATCCCAATACACTATGCGTTAAACTTTTCCTGTGTTTCTGCTTTTTCTAGTACTACAGGGCCTCCACACTGAGCTACCTCATCCCTCCCTCCCTTTTTGAGGTAGGGTCTTGGTAAGTTGCCCAGGCTGGGCTGGAACTTTCCGTCCTCCTGCTTCAGCCTCAGAAATCTGATTCCTGTGTGGGAGAACGGAACATCACTGCTGCTGCTTGCTTCGCCCAGAGGTAGTACACTATCAGTGTTCTCTTTCCTACAGCTGAGAGAAGAAGGGACTCCCAGCGTGAGACTTCCAGGGAAATCTTCGCGCACCATCTTGACAAGGTGGATTTCTCAGGAGAGGAGCTCATTCAGGAGAGGCAGTTGCCCACAGAGGGGCTGCAGGAGACGGGGAAGCATTTGGCGAAGTCCAGGCGAGACTTACAGACTCTGTGCTGCACTGACGGCTGCTCCATGGTGGAGCTGAGTGCTCTGTGTTAGGCAAGCGTGGGCTCCAGAGGGCCGCAGCTTAACCCTCGCCTAACCAGGGCTCTTCTGTCTCTTAGATGAGGCTTTGGAATGGGCAGCCCTTTCCTAAGTGAAGTCTGTCTTCTCCCCTTGCCAAGGTGAATGCTTTCTTCTTTTCAAATTCTGGCTAATGTTTTGAAATTGCAATAAAGATATAATTAAATCAAGTTCACTGTGATTTTTTCCTTTAAAAAATGTAAATTAACAGTTAACAGAAAATGCTGATTCTAGGAAAGCCTAAAAATATACATTACAAAGAAAGCAAAATCAGCTGTTAGCTCATCCCCCTAAGCAACTAGTCACTCTTAACTTTCCGGTTGCTGTGTATTATTACCAAAAACTGAAGCACTGATTTGTGGTCACAAATAAGAATCTCAACAGAGTTTTTTTCAAAGGACTTAAGAGTGCTCAGTACAGGTTTCCTACTGTGTACTTGGACTTGAGCACAAATGGGGCATCCAGGTACCAAGCACTTCCACACAGTGGGAACTCAGAGTGTGTTTGAGTCCTGAGCTCCTTCCTGCCTGTGCTCACCTTGATTTTGCCTCTCTCTTTCAGGAATGAAAGGAAATTCTGTTCTTAGACCCCTTAGCAAAGTTATTGTTATGCAGTTGGATCTTTCCAGATTAAAAAGCAAAGTAAGACTATCACAAAACAGTGTTTTCCTTTCTCGCCAAGACAGCCAGATGCTCCAGACTCCCTGCTACTTAATCCTCTGGTGTGTGTAGCCTGTCACCCAGCTACATAGCGGGCACCGTGTCAACATCTTGCGCACAGCAGCCAGCCTTTCCTTCGCATAGCTGATCAGTACATCTGTGAGCACTGGTGAGGACTTTATCGTCAGTACAGAGAGGGAGAAACCGAGGCTCTGCAAAATTAGGTAAACGTGTTCTAAAGCCCACAGCTAGGTGGATGGTGTTTTACATTTGTACCAAATGTACACTGGCCCTCATGAATCAAGACAGTCACAATCACAACGTCTCAACCCTTGAGCATGCATCTTTTCAAGATCGGGGTGACAGGAGCAGAGGACAGCAGGGAGCACACGCTTGCAGGCACTGAAAGACAGGGGCTGTCTCCACAGCAACCCTTGGGTGGTTGAGCTGCTGAGCTTAAATTAGCTACTTTTTCCCAATAAACATATTTTTCTTTTCTTGGTTTTTAGGAAAAGACTGAAAAGCTATAATTATTTAGATTTGAGTTTTTACATTAAACGAAATGATTTGAAAGTGAACAAAATGAACCTGTCACTTTAAGGGAATCAACTGGCAATATTTGTCACTGAGGTGGTAAAATTCAAACTTTCAGGCAATTGTGGCTAACTTTTATGCACTGCTGGGAGCAGCAGCAGTGACCTTAGTGAAGCTAGCTTTTATATTGTGTAATAAAGCATGTAGCATTTGAGAGAGCTGTGTAACTCAGCAAACCATTTTGAAATGATTTAAAAATCACGCATGGGTAAAAGATCCACTCAAAGTGCAAACAACTTAATTTAGCATTATACAAAAGTCAACGATGCAGATTCAGATTCTACACTGCAACTTTTAATAAAAATCCACAAGTCAAGGGCCAAAGATTTATCTCTGTGGCACTGCACCTGCCTCGCAAACACAAGGTCCCGAGTTCTGTCCCTGGTACCAAAAACCCCCAACAAACCACAAGTCGAGTTTTAATATAGTGCTATAAAAAGAAGGCAAAAATCATCTGAGAAGGTTGTTGAAATAAACTCCAACTTCATATTTATATGCAGTGAGATTTCTTAACACTCGATCTTAGCCAAAAGGCCGAGAAGCAATTGCAGTGAGATTTCTTTATTGTGTGTCAACCAACACAACCCACAGTAACAGACAGAAAGCAGAAGCCAGTTTGGAACACACACACACACATATATATTTTTTTGGTACCGGGGATTGAACTCAGGTCCCCGTGCTTGTGATGCAGGCAGTGGAACCACTGAGCTAAATCCCTGGCCCTTGAACCATATTTTATTCAGCCAGCCACTAGAGACTTGCAGAAATTAGAAGAGGATGCTCCCTTCCTGTCCAAGAGTCTTCACTTTGTAAAACTACAGCTTTCAGCCAATATGTTATATGTGTTAACATTGGTGGGTTTATTATTTTTAAATGAGTTAATGTTTTTAAATTTGTCAGTTTTAAGTTTGACAACAAAAATAGTTGAATTCAATCCACATAAACAAAAGCTCTTTGAAGTTCTTAATAACTTTTCGGGTTCTGAGACCAAAATGTTTGAGAAGTCCTGTTTTATAATTTGTATTGCTACAAGTCTTAGGAGACTCATCAATATATATCGATTTCCGATTGTTTGCCTTACTTGTGATTACAACTAAGATGCAAAGAATAAATTTCATTCACTTATCTTTACATACTGACATGTCTGTTGGATACCTTACCAAACTGCTGGGGAAAGAAGTATGTATGTGCTATTATTTATTGTATCTTATTTATACTTACTAGATTATAAATATATTGATATAATACATAAAGAAAAAAAAGAATAAAAGTGAGACCTAATCACTTTAGAGACATCCTAACTTTCAATAGTGACAAGTGCCTGTAATCCTAATGACTTGGGAGGCCGAGGCAGGAGATTTCAAGTTTGAAGCTACCTTGGGCAATTCATTAAGACCTGAATCAATATAAAAAATTTAAAGGCAGAGCACTGGGCATGTAGCTCCGTGGTAGAATGCCCCTCCATTTGATGCCCAGTGCCCTCTGAGGAAGAAAAAGAAGGAGGAGCAGGCGGAGGAGGAGAAAGAAATCCTGCAGCCACTCTTTAGGGGAAAACAAAAAATAATGTATGTGTAAGATTAGAAAATCCTAATAGTTCAAACAAATTAAAAAACAAAATGCCTTATTCTAACAACATACCCCATATTAGGAGTTTCTTGTAATTCTTCCAGAAACAAGACTCATATTTACACTGAATTTATTGTAGTACTGATGTAGGATTTAAGGGATCTCAGAGATCAGTGGGTTTATTTAGATGCACACCAGCCCAGCAGACTCTTGTCCAAAGGCTGAGTGCAGGACAAAGGAAGGGCTCTAGTTTTATACACATTGAGGAGGGGAGTTGGTGTACATAACCGTGCAAAAGTTGTGGATAGAAACAGAACAAAGGCAGTCAGTCAGGCTGTGACAGTTTTGCAACTCATCAAACCCTGGTGGCCTTGGTCAAGTAAAAGCAGGATCTTAGGGGAACAGGAGGCTGTGAACCTTTACACGGACTAAGCTGGTAATTTCATTTGTAACAGAACAGAGAACAACAGCAGTAGGGAGGGGGAAGTCTAAGGTGGAACGGCTTAGGTTGGGGAAACTTATTTTTCCTTCTTTTTAAAGTCCTGCTTTAGTACAGCTCAAAATATAGCTAGACAGCTTTCTTTGCCTATGTTTGTCTCTCTTGTAGACTTACAGGTCTCCACCAAAACTTCTCTCCTTCCTTTTGGGCACCTAGTGAGATTACACTTCTTAGCCTCCTTTGCGGTTACGTGTGGACCTGTGACCGAGTTGCGCACAATTAAACATGAGTGGCCCTGTCAGGAACCACTTCCAAGACTCTCATAAAATCTCCCACTCTCTCAACTTGTTTTCTGCTCAAATCTATTTCTATGTCGGTGTTAACTACTCTCATGCACTAAATACTGTGTCTATCATCCTAGTTCGCAGCGTAAGTGATCATATGTACCATCCTACATCTCACTGCTGTCTTATTTAATAGATCTTGAAGACATTTCAATAAGATTTTCAGTATACGTATTTTACAGTTAAAAACATAACAAGATATTACCAACTAAATAGCCTGCATTAATTTACATTTCCACCAGAAATTTGTGTGTGGTGATTTCTGTACATCTTCACCTGTCCATGATGCTATCACACTTGCAAAAATTTACAGTTCTTACAGTTGCAATATTGCTTATCATCTGGGGTCTCACTTGCTTTATGTTGACTATGAGCGGTTACCTTTCACGGTCATTTCCTCTTCTGTAACTGAGCCTGCTTATATTCTTGGCTCATATTTCTACTCATTTATGATAGCTTTAAGTCTTTGAAGCTTTTTTATATTAAGGATATTAACTTTTTGACCACTGTCTGAGTAATGTACCCCCCACTCTGCTCTATGTCTTGGCTTATTTCAGATAACTACTGTCATACCAAATCTTTTCCTTCATGGTCCCTGGGTTTCCTGTTGTGCTTGGGAAGATCTATCTGGCTGCAAGTTGGCACAAGGATTCTCTTAAGTTTTATCCTAATAAATATCTTGTTTATATTTTGTATTTAAAAGAATCGGGATATGTTCCTTCTCTCTCTAATCTCTGCATGTTTAAGATCAGAATATTGCATCTTTAAACAAATGAGTCCTTGCATGACTCTTACTTGTGCTTTTAAGCCAGGTTCATGCAGCCCATTAGCTATGATTTTAAGAAAATTCTTTTAGCAATTTGACCAAAGTGTACTAGAGAGAAATATAAAGATGTCTTTATTTTTATAATTAACCAATGGCATATGATTTACTTCTGTTCAATTTCAAAATGAAGCAGGTCTCTAAACGCAGTGTTTCTCATATGCATTTGAAAGTGGTTTCCCAGCATGCCTTCAGCAATTCGGGCTGATTGTCCTTTCAGTAGATGGACAAGCCACTGTCCTCTTTGTCTGAGGGAAGCCGCATCTTGGTGTGTAGATCCTAAGTGTAAAGTGAGGCCAAGGGCTGCCATTCTGGTTATCCGGGTCCACTGCTTGACTAGGTAGGAAAAGGCCCCAGTGGGCGGGTGGAGAACCACAAGTTTCAAATTATATCACGTACTACAAAAGGGAAAAAGAGAGAAAGAAAAGGAAAAGACAAGCAAATGAGCACCTCAGTTGGCAAGGAAAGAAATTGAAAGTGATCACAGGAGACTTTAATCAGCTACCTTATAAGTTTAAGTCTCAGGAGAACTTCTAGTGGTCTGTGTTCATGTGTATGAGGAAGAGGAAATCCAAATTCGGTTGGACACCGAGACAGGAAAGCGTAGGTAGCAGCAGGCAAAATCATAACAGTCCAAGAAACTACTGCTTTGGATGCCAACACCTCTGAGTGGAAAATGTGTGAGAATGAGGAGAGATGAGCAATGAGGGGCTGGATCGGGGGAGGCTAAGGCTGCGTTCAGTGTGGTCCTGAAGAGAAGTCATTTGTCATCCAGCAAAGGCGGTGGCAGACGATGAAAGCTCCGCAAAGAAGAAAAAATGTAACCTAAAATACTACATCATGGTGGTAAACAGAAATTGCCAAGACAGTGGCTCATTTCTTCAGACAGCAATTTCTGTAGAAGAAAGGAGAGGTGGAGAGCGAGCTTCCAGAGTGGGTGAAGTCTTTTCTGCTTCCCCTTGTAGTCTTCACAACAGCAAGCTGAGTAGGGACCATAGCTACTTGAGGAGACAGACCAGAGGCATGAGCCAGCTTCCCGAGTCCCACACAGCTAGGAAGAGCTGCGAGCCAGAATGAGGGGGTTTGTCTGCAACCCTATGTTCAAAGAACAAAGAAAAAAGGGCCAGGGATTTAGCTCAGTGGTTCTGCCGCCTGCCTCGCAAGCACAAGGTCTGAGTTTGATCCCCGATACCAAAAACAACCAACCAACCAACCAGACAACCCCCAACTGCTATATTACATTGCTGGTCAAAAGAGATGAATTCGGAAGAAAGTGGAGGAGGAACGCAAGGAGGAGAAACAGACTGCATCCTTGGCTGTGTGAACAACCTTACTGTTTGCGAGAGCAACACAGGGACAGAATTCGAGCAGACTGCAGGAGGTGGCCATGGCAGAGAAGAGGAGCATAAAAATCTCGAGAGCAAAAGGCACAGCAAATATCAGTGACTACTCAATGTAGAGTTTTGCTAATGCAGTTCTGGGTAATGTCTAGAAAGACAGATCAAATGATGGTCGGTCTCCTGAGATGGCTCAGGTTTTAAAGTTCTACTTTCTCAACTGCTGTTCCTTAAAATTACTCCCATATACAGGATAATTCATTCAAGTGTTAGTTCTTAAAGATGATTTAACTGAGCAAACATTTAATTTCCATATAAATACTCTATTGGACTCTGTTGTAAGATCCTCCTATTTTGTGTTTTCTTAAAGTCATTTGATTAGCAATAACAACATTGACATTTCCACTGGCCTGTGAACATATCTGACAAGAGAGGATCAGGCAGGAATTTTTTAAATGAAGACAACCTTCAACTTTGGTTTGGAAAGAAGTTTTCTCCTGTTGGTTTTGGGGAGTGTTTCTGGCTGCCGCTCCCGGAGCTCACTGAGTTTTCAGCAGTTTGCTGTCAGTACTGATGTACTTGCTGAAGACCGGGCTAATGACTGTTTCATAAAGCGGGAGGAAGACATTAGGGCTTCACATGGAAGATGGCCAGTTCTAAACCTCTCACCTCCACGTGGCTGCTCAGCGCCACTTTTTCAACTGCCGGAGGCTCTCTTCCTCCGATCCAAAGTCTCATGGCTAACTTAACCTTGAGTGCAAAATCAAACTAGTATTTCCTTCTCAGGCCCTTCCTGCTGCCACGCTTATCTGTGCTAACAGAACCATTGATCTAATGACTTACACTCAAACTTTCAACTGCAGTCACAGGGATGGCTACTTACCGAGGGCTTCCTGTAGGGAATCATCCTGTTAAAGAGTCTAGCAAGCATGTATTTGATCCTCCAAAGTTCTGTGCAGTGGGTACCAGCATTACCATTAGTCTGCCATAGGGAAGGCGCAGCTTAGCTGAACAATTTAAGATCATTTAATTGCCCATGAGGTAGCTGGATTCATACACGACTGTGCTTTGAACTTCCCACCTCCTCGTGCTGTCTTAGCTGCCCCCGACTCCTCCTCCCTGACCTAATCGTGGGGCTTCGTCCCACAGGTGCCATCTCCCATTTTCAGTCGCTCTGTCAAGTTCAGCCTTTCATTCCATCTCCAAAATGATCTTCCTGCCCTTTCTCAACTTCTTCCTCTTCCCCTCCTTGGGAAGCCACCTCACTTACGCTACTCATTTAGGAAAAAACTCAGTGATTCTTCGCGGTCTGAGGGTGATCTTCTTGTCCAGTCACTAGTACCCTTCCAATGCAAGTGACTGGAGAACAGCGGAAGGAGAAGACGGCTGGAGGGGCCTGAAGAGGAGAGAGGCGGGCTGGGCCTGCGCCGCAGCGGGAGGAGATGGGCGACAGGCCTCGAAGACGGACGGCACTTTGGGAAGCCCAGTGAGAGGAGAAAACGCCAGGGACTTTCAGGGTGCTTCAGAGTAAAACAGCCCCGTCTTCAAATTTACAGTGTAATTTCCTCAAAATTCACCACCCCAAGGTCCTGTGAAAGCTCACACTCTCCTAAATCAGCCACAATCAGCGAGCTCCTACTGTGCATCCTTGTGCTGCTGTCCGGCAGCTAGCGTTCATCACTGACTTCACTGGAACTACAGATGTGACAACATGCGGCAAATCACTTTCTTTCTATTCTTTAATGACCATCGTGCTTTAAGGTTTTGATTGCCAACATAACCTAGGCTAGACGGTTAGCAATTATTTCATGGATCAGACTTCAGAATTCTTTTAAAAGCCGTATTTATGATGACTTTCTACACCTCCAGTGGTCTCTCATCCCAATATGTCCAAGCAACATCGCTGTGTGGTGGGAGACGTCCGCACAGGAAATGACGCTCTGCAGTTCAGGTACCCACCGTGTTTGCTATGCAACCCGGGCTGACAACTGGCAGCGGAGACGGATGAATACTGTCTGTGACAAATCGCTGGGCAGATATGCCCCCGCTAACGCACCACCACAAAACTAATGAAACGGACAAAATCACTTTGAAAAGATACTTTATGAGCCCAGAATGAGAAGGAAAGAGACAAGGTATGCATTCTCTACTCGTAGGGCAACGTAAGACACCAAACATTTTAAAATGACAAAGTTTCTCCATTTGTTAAATTCTTTTTGACGTGAATCATGCATCATTTTTTCCTTGAGACTATAACACTGCTCATTTTCTCCATATGTGAACGATCGGTCTCTGACATTTAACAGGCGTCCCCCGGCCATCCGCTTCCCCAAGAAGAACATCGCCACAGCGTCATTTTACACACAGACCAAGGCCAAAAGCGCCATAAAAATAAATGATCCATGGTGCTCCATGCATTAACCGGCAGAATAATAAGCTGTCCCAGCCCTATAAATTTTAATGCCCATCCCTTCAAAACCACATCGGGTCACTTCAGTATTAAATAGATAGCAACAAGATGGTAAATACACATGTTTTATTTGCTGAGCTGCCAGCTATGTATTTTGTGTAAAAGTTCATTAACCTAGGAAAATCTATTCACAGGCACATCAGGCAGTGTACATTTTAAAGCAATCGCTCTTGCTAATGCAGGATTTTATGTGTTCCAGATACATTTACTATTAAGCATCATGTATATTTAATAGAACACCATCCACTTGGTTGTTCTAAAAAGCCACTGTTCACTTTATAGTTTCCATTATTGAAGAGCCAATGTGCAGCTCTCCTGCAATTTTGTAAAGTGCAGTCGACCCACAAGAGCTTCTAGTTTTAGCTTGTGGTCCCTCGGGACCAGGATAAATGGTTATGAAGTCATTAATCCTACCTCAGCAGTTCCAACTGTCAGGTACATGTAACAGTAATTGCAGTTAATGAATGCTGCTCAATTTATTAAGTGCAGAATGAAAACCTGAATTCTTTGCTATGCAGCACTGAGCCATATTAACACTGATCATTTGTGTATTTCACGATAAAAATGCTACTGTCATTTATTGGGTTCAGGATATATAGCCAGATATTTCTGAAATGTCTCTTCGTCAAAAAGTAATACAGGAAATTCTAACTCTCTGATTAAAGAGTAATTCAAATAGTCAATACCAAAAGTAATACTTAATAAAAATCTATGCATTTGAAAAGCAGTCTAGCAGAACCATGACTTAGTATTTTCTGCTTTGGACCAAGGAGTTTCCCAGTTTTCGGAGTATTAAAAACCCTGAAAGCTCCCATTTGTTTGAAATGTTAGTCTTGCTTCTTTCTCAAAGTTTTTGGCAGTAAAATTTTGGCGAACATAAAGTGTGCTTTATGGTTTAAAAAAGTAAGAACTACACATCTTACTTTCAGTCACTCAAAGTAAATTGCATAGACACTGGCAAGGGCAAACAGAGAAGAGTTTCGGAAAATGTAGGATGAAACAGTATCACTTTTAGGGTCCCAGAGGCATCTGCTTCCAATAAACAAGCTCTGACGCTTCAGTTGTCCGATGTGAGTGACAACAATTAGTTTATACCAAGGGATCATTAATTCTTTGACCTGGGTTTTAATAACCTAGAAATCAAAAAATAATAATAAAAGGGTGGAACCACTACCTAGAAACACTGACACTCAAAAATCTTAGCTTTTGCCATCGAGAGAGAGGGTTTAATTTAAGCAAATAGCATGATACGCTGTGGACACTTTCCATAACTGCTGCAGAGCTGTAAGTACTGTCCTCACGGGACAGGGCATTCAGGGACAAAATGAAAACACCGCAACAAATCTGCCTGTGCTGAACACTTGGGGAAACTAATCCAGGGCAGAGAATTTAAGAAGTCATTAGGTTCTTTGAAAACTCGGGGTTAAGATCACTTCTCTTCTTGGTACGAGGGTTGTAACTGTCTCGTTCCTGTCTAGTGAAGGGAAAATCACCTGAGTCTCTTGTAATATCTAATTGTGCATGTTCATTAAAGAGCTTGTTAGAAAAGCAAAGGTACAGAAAACAATGAGAAAGTGCCCACACTGGAGTTGATAAAACTAGAAATATATTTAAAGACAGTGATGTCTGTAGTTAACGATACTCAAAGAAGGTGCCATGGAGAGAAAATGATGGTTAAAATATTGTATCTTTTGCAATAAAAATTTTTAGAAGAGGGCAGTTTTATGTATCTGTTCAAGTACACATGATTGTTTTAGACAAAGGCTTATTATACACACACATGCAGCATATGACCTAATAAATGTTTCTATAAAATATAAATATGCCTTTTAACTATGGCCAAAAACAAATCCCTTCATCACAATGTAGCAAGTGAGCTGTGCTTTTGCAAATACTGTAGTTATTGCTATGACTTTGGGTCAGTCTTGCACATACCTCAGAAAGCAGTTTAGTCATCTTCCTGCAGAGCTCTGGTTCATATTTTTCTTCTTGTAGATACTTTGTTAACACATCTTTCAAAACATGATTGATGGTGACCATAGGAAAATGTTTTCTAGGACCTGAAAAAACAGATGGAATTTCTTCTTAAGAAATAGTTGGATACTCAGGAGGCTGAGGCAGGAGAATTGCAAGTTCAAGGCCAGACTGGGTAATTTAGCAAGGTCCCATCTCAATCAATCGATCGATTAATCAATCATTGCTGGAATGAAGCTCAGTGACGGAGGGCCTGCCTAGCATGTGTGAGGCTTTGGGTTTGATCCCCAGTACTGCCAACCAAAAAAAAAAATAATTTTCAGGTGCATCCACCTAGTTCCTAAACTCATCAAAAGATACACAGAGACCTTTAGCCACCTGCTCATCCGGGGGCCCTCTATTTAGGGAAGAAAGAGACCCTAATGAGGAGTTAAGTCAGGTCTGCGGACGGCAGCCGCAGGGACTCCCCAGACCTCCCGAATGGTCTGAGCCCCAGCCCTTTTCCTCCAGCCACACTGTTTGAGATTCCCAGCTCCCGCTCCCCTCGCATCTAGCGACAGCCCCCGGCCGGAAGGGTGCTCCGGGCTCTGCTCTGCTTTCTCAGTGAGGCTTCCTTTCCCATCTGTCTGGCGGAGAAATAAGCCACTCCTGTTTCACATCCAGCTCCAATGTCCGCCTTCCAGGCTGCCACGTTCCAAGCCCCCTCTTCTCCCGCTCCCAAGCTACTTGGAAGTAGCTAGAGCCTCTTCATGCGTCTCTGCATTTCAATGCGCAGTAGGTGTGTAATGTGTCACTTCGGACTTAAATAGAGCCTTTCTGGGGTAGTACTTACTGAAGACCGAAGCCAGGGCCTTTGCACCGAGCTACATCCCCAGCCCTTCCTTATTTTTTACAGAGAATCTCACTCCGTGGCTAAATTACCCAGGCTGGGCTCCAATTTGCCACCCTCCTGCTTCAGCCTCCCAGAGTGCTGGGATACAGACCGGTGCCACCACAGAATCGAACATTTGATAGGCAACAATCATTGTACACACCCTGGCCCCTCTTTTTTTCCATTAAGTTTATCGGTACAATTTAGGTGTATAATACAGTTACGTTCATCACCGGGATCTCGTCCCTTTACATAACATATCTTGGTTCTTATTCTTTCCCCACTTAGCCAAGCGGTTCTCATGTGTCGGCCGCAGTGACAGACACTTTGCACATAGTTACAGGGCGTAATCTTTCCACGGCTCCCTGCAGTGAGTCTCACTGTTTTCTAATTCACAGGTGGGAAACAGCTTTTCCTACCTGGAGCAACTGGCCTGGAGCCACACAGTGGCAGGGCGGAGTGGACACTCAGGGTCGCCTGGCCCTGGAGTACAGAGTTCACACGCTCAGACACACTGACTGCAGCTTGTGGTCAGAGCTCCGTCCCTGCATCCTGGAATTGTAACCACGTCGGCCCTCTGGGGGTCTGTGTGTCATGGCACAGCACACACGTGAGCCAGGGCTGGGTATTCAGAGAACTAACCACTGCTGAATGGATTGAGACCAATGAATGAGATCAAGAATTGTGTCCAGCTGGGCATGGAGGCACACGCCTATAACCTGAGTGGCTTGGGAGGCTGAGGCAGGAGGATTATTAGCTTGGAGCCAGTCTGAGTACCTAAGCAAGACCCCTGTCTCAAAATAAAAATAAAGGGCTGTAGCTATGTGATCGTCCTGAGTTCAACCGTAAGTACTGCCAAAACAAATCACATCAAAGTCTCTTTTAATAGTCATCAGTATCTATTAAGAAGTGTTTAGTTTTAAAGTTTTATTTCAGTCAGTGTCTAAAGGAGCATATTACACACTCAAGTTAGGAAAACTGCAGGAGGATTTCATGAAAGTGGCCTCTGGGGAGGTGTCAGCAGGGTGGAGGAAATCCCAAAGGCCAGCGCTGCCTGGGCTGGTGGACTTGGGGTGTGACCGTACCCACCCCGGGCTGGTGGAATCCAGGACAGAGCTCTTAGGAGATCCCAGGTCCCAGAAGAGCTGTGTGGAGCAGGCTTCCCGGAGCCCAGCTCTGCCCTCCGGTCCAGTGGGTAGATGTAGGTACCATACCCTCTTTGCCTCTCGGCTGGGGCTTCACAGGCTGAACTCATCAGAAGGCTCAGCTGGGCCTGCGGTCCGGCTGGGTCAGCCTCTGAGGCTCTATAAACAGTCTTGTTATCTTGGTGACAGGGCAGGATGGGGAATGCACGTAGACTCGTCAAGCAGACACCGTGCAGTGGTTCTGGGGACTGTGACGTCCAGCACGCGTCCTTCTCCTGGGGACCCAGGTGAGCAGTTGGTCCTGTTTGTGCCTGCTCCTGGAGGTCAGAGATGATGGGGTCCCATGAGCATGGCCTGGGGACTCACAGGCTCTGTGTCACCTTTGTGTGGGTCTCTCAGGTTTCCACGTCATAGTCCTGTGAGATGAAGCCAAGCTCGAAGGCTATTCCCCTTTTCTGTTGAAGGTCAGCAATGATACCATTGGCCTGGACCAAACAAATCACAAGGCCTTTAGACCCAGGCCCTCTTGGTCCCTGGGTCCCTGAGCACTCAGATCATGGATCCCTAAAATGACCAGCATTTGCCCTGTGGGCCTTGGCTCTCCCTGGCCTCACGTCCCCTTGGGTGCATCATGCCCTTCAGAAGATGGCAAACCCCTTTCTGCTCATGTTTTGTCTGCCCAGTGCTCCTCCCTGCCTCCTGGGCACAGCACGTCCCCTTCTGGAACGGACCCTCTTCCTCCTCTCGTCTGTGGCTCTTCAGAATCCACCACTCCCTCCTGTGAGTCCAAGTCTAGGGCAAGCTGACTCAGGGGTGACCCTGCCCCAGGCCAGGAAATTTTAAAGTACTTTCTTGGAATTTTTATTTTAAACTGAGACCGGGAAGGAAATGAGTCAGCCTCTTTCTGTAGCAAACTTATGACCTATGACCCTCAGGCATGCTGGCAGCCATGTTTTCCATGGTGGAAGGAAGCCAGGCCTGTGAGAGACGAAGGCCACAGACAGGCCAGTGCTGGGGAGAGAACCCTCACCACCCTGGAGTCCCCTGTCCAGGAGTTCCCGTTGGCCGGCTGTGCCAATGTCCTTTCATCATTTTGCTTGGTTGCTGTTTTAAAATCCCATTAACCAGATTATATTTTGAAACATTTTTGACATAAAGCAATACAGTTTTTTTCTCACTTTGTTGTGGTCTTTCCCCCGTATGTGCAGAATCACCCATGGCCTTGCTCACACTGGGATGCTGAGATTCAGAGAGGGGAAACCTTCAGCTTTTCATTTCCAACATGCAGAAGCTCCGGGAGCTACTCTCAGAGTTGACCAGTTGAACAGCAAAGCTCGCTTTTCTTTTTGCACTGTTTTTTTAAAAATAATTTTTCCTTAGGAAGAAAAGAATGTTCTAGAAATCAAAAGGCAAAGACCCGAAGACTCAGATTTAAGAGGACAGCTAAAGACAAATGATGACATATCTGTGGCCCAACTCCCCCAAACTGGGGTAGTAAGAATGACTACACATTATTATTTTGGCTAGGATTCAGTGAGACAACATATTAATGTTTAAACAATGCCTTCTACATACTAGAGCATATTAGACCATAGATAGTTATTCTTATCGGTGTGTTGCTGTTACTGCGGTCCTCGTGCTACGCAGGATGGGACCGGAGAGGACGGAAAGAGGACGGTGAAGTTGCCAAGGAGACGGGGAGGCTTCACAGTGGGGAGATCACGAGAAGCTGGCAGGTCCCTCCCTGACACCTGACGCCTCAGACAGGGCCTGAGCCTCGCACGGAGGGCATGGTGGCCAGCTCGGGGGCGTCCCCACCTCTCGGCACTGAGGATCCACTTCCCTCTATGTAGGCTTCGTGCTCCGAAGGCCGCCCAGAGTGGCACCCAGAGCTCTTATCCAGTCTGGTGCTCACTATCAGTTTTATTTTTCATAGAATCAATGACTGCTCGGATGACAGCTCCAGAAACAGTCCTGTGGCACGCTCATTCCATAACTAACAGGAAGTTACACTGAACATCCGGGAGACACTCGTAGCGATACGCGGTGAGGTCCTCGAGCCCGTCCCTTTCAGGAGCAATGACAATGGGTGGAGAAACAGCTGAAGCACATTCTTTCACGTGATCGTCACAGCACCCCTCGGACACAGGCAATACTGTTCCCAGCTACAGGTGAGGAAACTCAGATGCAGAACTTTGCTCAAAATTCATTTATCTACCTATTACCAAGCCTAGAATTCAATTCAGATGCATCCAATCTCACAGCCTATTTTCTTCCACACTCTTAGTTCAGCAATCGGTGAGGAAATGGGAAATGGTGTCTAATTAGAAGAACCGCGTTTTGCTTTGGCCATTCCCCCTTTTCTCTCCTAAGTCACACTCACGTTTCACCTCATTTTTGGGAGCTGTGGTTTTTGAAAGGAAGGACAAACACGCTACATGTAAGGTAAGTGCCTTGGAACGGCTGCCGCCTCCTGATAAACAACCTCCTTCCTCACCTTAAAGGTCCCCTTCCCCACCCCACGCGTCACGGGTCACAGTAAAGGTCCAAGCGTGGCCCCGAGTGGCTGCCCGTGCAGCTGCCACAGTCCCCGACCCGCCTACACCGGGCGCCGCTGGGTAACCAGGCCCCTCTCCCGCTCCCTCGCTCTCTCCTTTGCTCCCTTTCTGCTGAGCGGGCCACAGTGCCACCGCCGCAGTGAGTCCTTTCACCGCACACTTGACGTGTGGTCAGATAATGCAGACACTAGGGGCTAGGCTGAAAAATTAATCAAGTAGAGTAGTTCTGGTGACTGATTTCCCTTCCATTCTTCTGGGCCGTATTACATGGTGTCGATACTGGGAAAAAACTTCACTAAGTAACTTCCACGTCCAAAACAAGCGCAGCAAGGGGAAGTGCAGATATACTTTTGAATATTAACAAAATGGCTAGCTCAGTGCTTGGAAAATGGACCGACTTCAATCCTGAAGGAATGGTTCACACAGATTTTTATAAGGAAATATAGAAATACTTTATCTACACGATGCTATTTTTAAAACTTGCTTTTCTAACTTGGCTCCACACCCAGTACCCAAACTGACAGGACAGTTTAGCCTGTTTATGGGAGGAAGTAAGTTGTGAAAATGTAGCTCTGTGAAGGGGCAATGCAAGGACCCACATTTCAGGCCCTCAGTCTTGCTGAAATCAGACTCAAAGCCAGAGTCCCCAGTGACTAAGAGCTTTCGGTCGCAAGTAGGGGAAAACCTGACCCAAACCCCACTCCCCAACGGAGAGGTCGAAGCCAGCTGCACTCAGGACACAAGCTGGTGCAGGACTCGGCTGCCTCCCCGCTTCAGGCTGGGTGTTGGGGGCCAGGCGATGGAAACTGCGTGGTCCCTTCCTTTGTTTGGGTTCCGCAGCCACATCTGCTTCTCCAGCTGTCAAACGACGTTTCCTGAGCTGAACTCCAGGGTTTTGGTAGGGTTAACCTGGGTTATTCGCCATCCCAGAATCAGTCCTGCTCCATCTGGGAAGTCGGGGCTGCTCCAGTACAACTTTGAGCACCGGAAGTTGCGAGGATGCGGTTGGTGAAAATACTCCTGAGGAAACCGGCACGGCTACCAGAAAAACACACATGTGTTTCAGATGCTCCCCACAAGCACCCTGAAAATACCAGGACGCTCGCATTGGGCGTTGTATGCCACGCAGTACTGGGGCTGCTGCGGAAAAACGGCTCAAGGCCTAGGAGGCTGGGCTGATGGTTTATAACGTCCTTGGGGTGGACGGGCCGCAGATGGGGACACCATGGCCCACGGAGGCTTCCGTGGCCCCTGGTAAATCTCTACGGAATTTCTATAAGCAGTAATTACAGACAAATTCAGGTAACAGCAGGCAGGTGTACGTGTAGAGAAACCAAGTAGGTCTGTGCAGAGACGTGAAAAAGAAAAGGTTTCTGCTGTACGCTCCTCCTGGGACTATAGGACCAGGTGCCAAGGTCTCTGTTTTCAAAGACCCAAAACCTCAGTGGTAACAGACAAACGCCTCTGTCCGCGGGGACCACAGATCTTTTACCTCTGCCTGGAGGATTTTTCCTTCCACTGATCAACAGCATGAGATGTTTTTTTTTTTTTTTGGATAAAACACCAACATGAGTCTCTCTCGCTTAACTCCACCCAGAAGTTCACAGTGAGCTTCTCAGCTGCACTGTGCATTATGCACATCTGTACCTCCCAGCCGTTTGCTTGGTATTGAGGAAACACGGATCAAGAAAAGTAGGGAGAAAACAAAGTAGCCTCATGTCACTCAGTTAACTCAAGCCCTCTGCGCCAGAAGGCCAGCTGCCGGACGCTATGTTGAGCAGACATCAGTCACCACTTTGGAAGTGATAAAGGAACTTACCCAGCTGGTAGGTGTTTTCCACTCGAGCTGGAAGGGAGAGATCTCGTCACGCTGGCTCGGCTCATCCACATGAGACAGGGAACTTTCGGAGCTGAAAGCAAGGGAGAAAACTCAGTTTAGCTGTGATTTGTAGCAATAAAAACAAACCCCTGCCTTTTCTGTAAGAAAGCATCAAGCTAGTCCTACGTCGGGATCCCAGGGTCACAGTTAAAGTGCGGATCATACAAGAGGTGGGAGCGTGGACGCGTTGAAAAGTCACTCGGAGGAGGTCCCAGTGTTGTAGCTGAGGCCACTGGTGGTGACCTTGTGGCCCGAGAATCCAGAAGGTGCTCGGGGCGGCTCTGTGTCCACGGGGAACGGACTGTGTGCTTCAGAAGCTGTTGCCAATGTCCCCACGGAGACGGACACAAAATCCCTCCTCCAGTACCCAAAGCTCCCAAATGCCACAGGGGACACACAAGACAGCTTAAAACTTCGGGAAACAAACCTACATGGGCGGGGTATTATTATACAAAGCTCACGATTCCATGTTCCCACCAAATCCTTTCTTAGTGTATAAAAGAAAAATAAGAAACTCACCTATACGGTGAAAGAAACCACAATTCATCCAAACTATCCCGAGTCCGTAAACCTCCATCTCGCTTTTCAACAACCCGAAAGGGGTTTGGCTTGGTTACCACGGTTCGCTTTTCAACACCCAAAAGGGGGTTTGGCTTGGTTACCATGGTAACCTGAGCTTATCCAGGTGCTTAGCAGGTGGGCGACCCCAGCAAGGAGGAGGCCTGGGGCTCCTCAGTGTTTAACTCAGCTGAGGCTGAGGAAACTCAGCTGTAATTAATGAGTCTCCAACACTTCACCCCGTTTCCCCCACCTGTGTAAAGGGAAGTTACCACGGACGTCATTTCAAAGGAGGTGACAGCGGCGTGCGCCTCTGTCCAAAGTGACCACTTTTCTAGGCAGGCTCTTTTTCCTCTGAGAAAGACATTTGTTCTTAATTTTTTGGGATTTCTTTTTCTGTGCAAAGAGTTTAAAATACTTTGTTCTCAGTTGTTTGGAATTAGCGAACTTCTTGCAAATTGATATTTTAAGAAAACCACAGTCTGTTTTTTAAAAATCCTTCAATGTAATATTCACATACAGGATAAATTAAGGTTTACCCGCCCAGCCCTAGAAAGCGATGCTAGAAATTATGGCTGCGTTTTCCGCAGTGATTTCTGGATTAGTGGTTGAGTCTCGTTCCTCAGCCCACCTGCTGTCCTCCACTCCCTCCCACGAGGCGGAGAGAGCCCCAGGTGCTCCGCCTTAGGAAGCCAGGGTTGGATCAGCTCCTCCATGCTGAGGTGAGCTACTGGGCCCCAGGGCTACAGGCGCTGCTTTTAACTACGCAAAACATTCCCCACCAGTTATCTTTTTATCTTTAAAATACCCTTTAACATCAGTCAGGGAGACCAAGGACACATGGCACCTGGCTTAACATGGGGCAGGAAGGAAAGCCAGACTCAGACTCACTTCCAAGGTCCCCGTCCCCCAGGGACAAAGTCTCCCGCAGGAGCACACCGGACAGAATAAAGAGGGGCGGTCACCCCTGAAACAACTAAGCACTCCATTAAAGCTCAGGTGCACAAACATAAAAAAGGCATTGATAAAATCCCTATTTCTTTTCTACTGAAGACCATATTCAAAGTCTCAAAGAGATAAGAGTTGGCACAACACCCAAATTGGCTGGGGTTAGAAGCCTAAGCCAAAAATGAAAATAAGGATTTTGGAACAAGTGCTTGCTATTGCTTGTTCAAGGGGACTGAAAGTCCATTTTAAGCGCACCTTATCATATTAATGCCATGCAACTGTGCTGCTGAGGGCAGGGTCAAACCCTGCGGATGGAGACTCAATGCAAACAGCAGCCATCAGACAGCTTTTCTGAGTTATTGCAGATGACCCTACTCAGCACCTTATTCCCTGGGAACCATTTAAGTAGCGTGTGCTCGCTGTAAAAACTCGGAGTCACAAGGAAGTAATGTTACACGAAATCACCAACCCCAGAAGTCACCTATATACCGCTCACATTTAAAAATCATCTTTGCACACATGTACAGGACTTTGCATGCGGATCCTCATACAGACGCTGGGGTACTTTTCTTTCTCAGGGAAAACTGTGTCGTGGCTAACGCTCATGACTGAGAGTAGTCTACAGCAATATTTTCAATGTCAGGTTGGTACATGAAATGCAAGTACTCTGCAGTTTCTTTAACTGTGGCCTCTCTAGCCATTTAGGGTATTTTGATACCCTGCTCTTACAAAGAAAACCGTAGTGAACATTGTGGCAGGGCTGTCATTTGCTTTTAAATGCTCTCTCCTTCCTTCCTTGGTGTGAAACTCTGAGTTTGTGAGAATATTTCTGTGTAAATTACAGGCGAATTCTTAGTGTCATTTCATACTATCACAATTCTGTGGCTTATGAACCAATGAGATATAAATGGAACTGTTGGGTGGAAATTTTGAGAAGATTCCTAAAATAATAACAACAACCACAAACTACAACTAATTTAAACAATAGGAAGCTGTTTTTCTTCTTCTTGGTTCCTGGAATGTGGTTGTGATGGCAAGGGCTCAGCAGCTTTGTGGGTCTAGAGGTGATCTTGTAGGCTTGTACATCAGAATGATGGGATCCTATGTCCCCAAATTGCCTCCCTCCTGGCTTCCTTCATGTAAGAGAAAAAGGAATTTCTATTTGTTAACGTCAATAGTTGTTGGAGTTTTTAAAAATGTACTATTACATAGGAAGCATTAGATACAACTGATGCAAATTTGAATTGAGGCAGAATTTGCTCAAGGTAATGGAACAAAACTGGTCTTGAAACTAGTCTTGCGGAGGAGCTGAGGATTTGGGGAGTAAGGTTTAGATATTTTGCTGGACACCTGGCAACACTAACTGGGCAGAAGGAAAATGTTTGTGGTGCCCATTGCTTTCTGCACCTTGGAAGGTGGGCTGTCTCCCTCAAGACGTGGAAAATAGCCAGGTGTAGGGCACACGCCTGTAATCCCAGCACTCGAGAGGCTGAGGCAGGATCACTATGAGTTCGAGGCCAGCCTCAGCTACATAGTAAGTTCAAGGCCAGCCTGAACTACATAGTGAGACCCTGTTTCAAAAGTAAATAAATAAGACATGGAAAATTTTCAGAGAATTTTACTTTTTAAATTTTTAAAATTATTTTTAAGGAAATTTTACTTTGTAAAACCCACATTTAAGCCAGGTGTGGTGATGCAGGCTCGTTATCAGCATGCTGAGATGCTGAGGCAGGAGATGAAAAGTTTCAGCCCAGCCAGGACAATGTAGTGAGTTGGTGGACCCTGTCTTAAAATAAAAATTGAAAAAAAGGATAGGGTTGCAGCCCAATGTGAAGCCCTGGATTCAATCCCCAGGCCACGAAAACAGACGAAAGGTATTCATGGCATTTTCCTTTCCTGTTTCAGTTTTCATGATCGGACTGAGTGCCACCTTTGCTAGGCAAGCATTTTACCACTGAGCTATGTCCCCAGACTAAGTTAAGGTATTTTTAAAAAGCCAGATCGCCTAGTTTTCACAGTGGAGTAAGACGGATTGGAAAAGGAGAGACTGAAAAGAGAAGAATAAGCTAAGTAAGTTTAAATAATAAGATATTTACTTCTCAGGAAAACTCAAAAGGAAGAGGTTAAAAACACTTGTGATATAAGCAAGTAACATTAAATTAGAATGTATACTTGGTAAATTGTTTGAAATAAAAATTTCTGTATTTTAAAATTGGGGAACTACCAAGCTCTATATATTTTTCTATTGATAAGCAGCTGCAGTTAAATCCTTTGTGTTATAGTTTTTTTTTTTTTGGTAGTGGGGATCAAACTTGGGTCTTTGCACTTGCAAGGCAGGTGGCAGAACCACTGAGCTAAATCCCCAGTCCTATGGCCTTTGAAATTTTTAAAGATAAACACATGAAGACTGGGCTTGGTGGCGCATACCTGTAATCCCAGCACTCGGGAGGTTGAGGCAAGAGGATTGCTATGAGTTTGAGACCAGCCTGGGCTACATACTAATTCCAGGTCATTCTCAACTACATAGTGAGACCCTGCCTCAAAAAAACAAACACACACACACACACACACACACACACACACACACAAAACACACGACACACTCAGAAAGTAAATTAATAACTAATTGCTAGGACCTACTAGTGACTCTTCCTGCTGTGACACCCTCGCAGGTGAGGGTCAGACTTGACTGAGTTTGGACTGACAACACTTCCAGACACGGGATCTCACTGCAAAGGGAGTAGTACTGTGGTCAAGTTTGTTTTTGAAGTGCGACAAGTGTTCTTGCTGTCCTTGTATTTTTATCAGCTTGTTGGTATTTATGGAGAGAAAGAAAATTACAAATGGCAAACAGGTGTCTAAGAGAGTTGTAAAATTTTAGAAAAAGGAGGTAGAAAGTAATACAGGAGACTGAAAATAGTGTATAAACTGGTAAAAAAAATGGAACAAATTAATTTATTCCAGGGAGACAAGAAACATGGTGTAACTTTGACACAAAATGTGTATCAGATGTATAACTTTAACACCGAAGTTGGTCAGCGCTTGGACAGAGCTAGACTTGGCTTTCACAGACAAAGAACTACTGTCCAAACCATGCATACGGCAGCCAGGTGCCTGGAGAAGTGTCCTCCGGACCTCTCTCTTGGGTGCTTTGAATCCATGCCTCCATCCAGGAGCTGCCCCAGAGCGCCCGCTCGCTGACCTTGACCCTTGACCTCACGTCTTCCTGGAACGTTAGCCCGATGCACTTCACTTCTGGTACAAGCTCTGACCTTCTACCCACACACTCACAACTGCTGGATTTTGCCTTCTGATTTGCAGAAAAGAGGCGCAAAACAGGTTTTTGAAGAAGCTGGAACATGTCAATTCTTTCATGAAATCCAGTTTTCTTAAAATCATCTTTCATGGTGCTTGCTGACCCACCCTTGGATTACAAGGCCTGCCTTACTGTTAGGACGTCTGGAGGCAGTGACTAATCTCAATTCAGTCTCACTCGTCATTGAGGCATCACATTATTACTGAGAAATTATTTCCACTGCCATTGTTCAGATTTTGTTCAGCATTTTCTTATAACATATTTGAGTGCTGTGTGATGATTCGATACAGGCACACGTTGTAACCGTACAACTCAAATTCAGCGTATCTATCTCATCAAATATTTCCTTGCAATGAAAATATTCAAAGTCCTTTCTACTTGCTTTTAAAAACACACACAGAACATTGCTGTTTATCTAGATGTTCTGAAACTGCAGTAAGAGGTGATATTTTAACACGTTTTGGAGCCATTATAATAATAGATTCAAAATGTCAGAATTCTCCTTTTCTTTTAATGTCCAGAGCTACCATATATCTGCTGAACTGTGATCTTTTTTGGGTGGGTTGTGGTGCTCTGCGTGTGTGTGTGTGTGTGTGTGTGTGTGTGTGTGTGTGTGTGTGTGTAAACTATTACTAAAATCATGTGCTGCCCCCCAGTGGAGAGATTTGAGAGTGGCGCTGTGTGTGTGTGTGTGTGTGTGTGTGTGTGTGTGTGACCTGTTACTAAAATCACGTGCTGCCCCCCAGTGGAGAGATTTGAGAGTACACAGAGAAAAAGAAGGCTTCAAATCCTAAATCTCTACATTAAAAAAGTAACCTTTTGACTTTTTAATTCTTTCAGTAA